TAAACTTTTGGCTTATTTACTATCATAGATATAAAGCTATACACCAGAGCAAGCCATAGGTTCTTCCTGCCACTAGATGGCATTGTCACATTTGTGTTTTGGAAGGATCACTCTGTGGTGTAGAGAATAGATTGGACTGGGGGAAGTGTAACTGCAGGAGGTAAAGTGCTGTTGTCCAGGAGAGAGATGGCGTTGGCTTAGAGTTCTTTCGCTACTGGTGGTTGAAAGAAGAAAAGTTAGATGGACTGTAAAAACATTCAGGAGGTGTGTCAGGGGTTTTCAAGATCACTTCCAGGTTCAGTGATTCTCTAGGAGGACTTATCAGATTTAGCACATAGTCATACTCATGGCTATGGTCTATTACAGTGGATAAATATAAGGGAAAATCAACAAAAGGCAATGGTACATGGAGTGATGTCCAGAAGAAACCAGGCACAAGCTTCCAAGAGTCTTCTCCCAATGGAGTCACAAAGGATGTGTATAATTCCGCTAGCAACATTTTGTGACAACACAAGTGAAATGTTGCCTGCTAGGGAAGCTTGCCTGAGCCTAGGATTCCAGGGTTTCTATCAACAGTCGTTAATGTACGCACTATCTACCTAACATGTACCAAAATTCCAGAATCCCAGAAGGAAAGCAAGTAGGAGAACAAACCAAATGGTTTGTACGAACAGTTGAAGCTCAGTGAACCACTCTTATCAGAGAATGTTCGAACTCTCCTAAAATCCAAGTTCCCAGACACCAGCCAAGGACGAAATTTGTAAGCACACGTTTCAAAGGACAGTAGTCTTAGGCTTACAATGTTAACTCTTTTCTGTGTTTTCTAACTGTTAACTATGTTTTTTTGTAAAGTCAGTATTTTTCTACTGCATTTCCATCCAAATGTTGGAAACTTATCAAGGGAATATACTCAGGAGTAAATAGCTTTGTTATTGAGACATAAAGGATTGTCATATTCCAGGTAAGGCAGTTAAAGACTGCAGAATCTGTTGCATCTTCATTAATTAATCAAAATATTACACCTTGAGGACTTCCTCTGTAACTTACCCGGGATCAGGCAGTTTGGATACAAATGGGGAGCAAAACCAAACATGCTGTGTCCTCATGGAGCTCACAGTCTAGTGGGGAAAGAGAGGCATTAATCATACAATCACAAAGAAAAATATTTAAAGAGAAAATTTGAAAACTGCTGTGAAGAAAGGGGATGTAGTACAATGAAAGCAAAATATGAACATCAGACGCGGTCTGGAGGAACAGGGAAGACTTCCCCCAGAAAGGGACCTCTGAGCTGAGCCCTGAGGGGTGAGTGGACATCACTGAGTGAAGTTGTGTATTGGAGGTAGTGAGAGAAAGGAGAAGGGAGGTGAAGGATTTCAGGCGGAGGGAGAGTCCTAAGGCTAATGTGTAGATTAAATTAAATAAAATGTGCTGGAATCTCAGAGGGCACTGGAAAAACACTACCATTTTTTTTTTTAATCTTCTGAAGTAGTTCCTGTATCTGCTTACAGAGTTCCTCGAAAGGGGCTCTGAAATTATTCAGGGTAATGGTTCAATTTTAGCCCAAAAAGAAAAGGATGAAGAGATACAGCTGGGGGGGGGGGGGGGGCGCGGGGAGGAGGCGGGGCCGGGAGCCCAAGCACATCTGCAAAGAGTTGCTTGGAGTAGAGCATCTGGGGCTTCTTTGATAAGCAAGGACCAAAGGAATTGATTTCAGATGTAGAAGCTTCCATTTGTCTTGTACATTACCTCTTAGCAAGTCGTTTCTCCTTCGGGGTTTCATGAAAAATCCTGAGGCCCTGGACTGGTGATTCTTAGCAAACTGCAGCCTCATTCTCCTTATTGAAAAACACAGTCCTTTTTGTCCTGGGGCCAGCCGGCAGTGTAGTGGTTAAGTTCGTGTCCTCCACTTTGGTGGCCTGGGGTTCCCGGGGTTCAGATCCCAGGTGTGGACCCACACACCCCTCATCAAGCCATGCTGTGGAAGCATCCCACATACAACAAAATAGAGGAAGACTGGCACAGATGCTAGCTCAAGGACAACCTTCCCCAAGCAAAAAGAGGGCCATTCTTCCTCACCAAATAAAACCAAAAAACAAACCCAAAACAAGGAAAAGCCCAGTCCTTTTTGTTCCTTTGCTCCAAGTGGCACTGTGGGTGACACAGACAATCCTCACTCTCCAATTCCCTAGACCCAGACTCTGAAAGTGTTTTCTAGGACTCCTTTTCTTTTCCCAATGTCTGGGTCCCAATCTGAGTTCAGTTCAACAAATATTATCAAGCTCCTCTAGGTCTTGGCCTCTATGATGGGTATTGTGAACTAAAGGATGAATAAGGGACCGGCTCCGTGGCCGAGTGGTTAAGTTCGTGCGCTCCGCTGCGGTGGCCCAGGGTTCGGATCCTGGGCGCGGACATGGCACCACTCGCCAGGCCATGTTGAGGGAGCGTCCCACATCCCACAACTAGAAGGACCTGCAACTAAGATATACAACTAGGTACAGGGGGGGTTTGGGGCGATAAAGCAGGAAAAAAAAAAAGATTGGCAACAGTTGTTAGCCCAGGTGCCAATCTTTAAAAAAAAAAGATGACTAAGATAAATGTTTTGTCCTGGGGGAAGATGGATCCAAAGCATGTGATTAAAATGCCCAGTTTCCCTGTCTCTGGGATATCAAGGCAGATCTCCCTGCTCCGCCTCTAGCCGTGTGCCTCTGCGGTGCTCTGCATTCTTGTTGGTTCTAGTATCGGTCCTCCCTGTCTCTAGCTCTTCGCCCCTCTCTCACGGTCCTGGTCTTCTTTCTCACATCAGACTTCCTTTTGCCGGTTCTCTCTCTTCCTACTCTCAATCCCTTGATCTCTTTGTGTCTACTCAGGGCCTGAGTTTTCAGACTGCACAGAGCATTTATTATGTCATTGGTAGAGCCTTTGGGGTTTCAGCTACTTACTCTATCTCTTCTTTTCTTGAAAACAAAGTAAGACACAAAAAGAATAAATGTATTATCAAATATTTTTTGTGTTTACCTGCTGAAGTGGAGCCTGTAGTCTCACTTAGGCTTTTGCAAGGTAAAATTTTTGGATGATACTTTATTGATGGAAATTTACAAATGCATGAAATTAAGATGACATGTAGAGAGGATAAGATACCCTGTTACAAACATGGCACTTAGCTTCTGAAATAGGTTTAATGGCATTCACTAGTAGTGAGCATAATTTTCATGTTCATATTATTTAATTAACTAATCCGATAAACATCTTTTGAGGATCAGAGTGTCATTAGACACCGTGGACACAGAAGGGGAAGAAAGGTTTCTGATCCCAACAATTTATTGGCCAGTTGGGGAGACATTTAAAAAAATACCACAGGTATGTAATGATGACAGAATGTGATAAATGCTACTCCAAGGCACTTATGTACTAAATGCTGTAGGAGTGTAAATAGGGAGCTGTATATTTAGCTTGGAGTGGGAGGTTTGGGGAGGCTACACAAAGAAGGGATGCTTGGTCTGATTCCTGAAATATGAAAGAGCCAGAGATGGAAGGAAGAGAAAGGCAGTCCAGGCAGAGAACACAGCATGGGCAAAGACAGGGAGTAAGAAAGGATTTGCTTTGTTCATGGACCCATGGTATTCCCATGTGGCTGGAGCCTAAGGAGCAGGCAGGAGTGGGGCTTGGAAGATCCTATGGAGAAGATTGCTAAGGAATCTGGTCCCAGAGGAAAAAATTTTCAGTACAAAAATGAAGTGATAAGATCTGTGTCTTAGAACGATTGCTCTTTATGTGCTAGCAGCCCAGGTAACATAGGATAAGGGAATGTCCTGAGAGAGTGGGCATGGAGAGGGACAGTGTGTTTGAGAATTAGACAGGTTGAGGGGACATGGTTGAGAGGAGCCATAGGGAGGAGTTGGAATTGTCAGGACTTTACAACTGATTAGATGTAGGGGGAAGTTGGGGTGACAGGAAGGAGGAGTCAAGGATAAGAGTTTTCGACTTTGGGTAGCTGCTGATTGGTGAAGCAGTGAAGAGTAGCAGTTCAGCACATAGCTCCTGGAGTTGGAAGGCCAGGAGTCGAATCCTGGCTTTAATAGTTACTTGAATGAGTTACGTAGGCTTTCTGTGACTCAGTTTCTTAATTTGTAAAATAAAGAATAACCGCATCTACTCTGGGGGTAGGTAGTTTTAATGTTTCTTATGGGCTTTAAATGAGTTAGTACATGCAAAACATTAGGGCAAGGAATGGTACATAGTAAGCAATCCGTAAGTGTTAGCTATTATGATTATGGCAAGTCATTAACTGGCATAGGGGAAACAGAGCAGAAGTTAGGGAGCTCAAGGAGAGACCCATGAGTTCAATAATGGGTACATTGAATTTAAGGTGACTTCCGACATCCATGCAGAAATGACCCATAAACAGTTGGAAGTACAGGTTAGAAATGAAATGATTGAGATTATGTGTATTTAAAAAAATTCTGTGGCAGATAACTTATGTAATTATTTGCCTACAGTAAGACCTCATAGAAAAATCTCTGTTTCTCACTTGCAAACATATGGCCATTTTCAGGTCCCAGAGTTGATGCAGCCCAAATGAAGAGACTTGTGTAGGGCTGTTCAGAACTGTCTGGGCAATCAGCCAGCAAGAGGTGATAGTTATTATCCAATGAGAGGCTAGTTCTGTTCTTTTATGCATTCTCAAGATAAATTTCTCAAAGTCTGCAAGTCTCTAGAGAATGTACCAGTCATTACTTTGCTTCCTCAAGTCAGAACTTCAGGAATTTACTCTTCATCTATTCCTGTTATTCTTGTGATATTAACAGTGGAAATTTACACTGTGCTTTTCTTGTTTTGTAACAACTCATCAGAAATGCTTATTACCTGGATCCCTTGTTTGATATGAAACCAGCTCTGCCCCAAATGTAGACAGAAAACTCTCCCCAAGCTTCTTTAATGGCTGTTTCCAATAGAAAAGTTGAGTGGTTATCCAGATAACAATGGAATTAATACATGCATACTTGGAGTTGCTCTTAGTGTCTTTAATTATAACTATAAGTACATATTCACTGAACAAATATTTGTGGTCCACCTATTATGTGTCAAACAAAGTGCCATGTGTGTGCTATACCTCAGCAAACTTCTAGGTGTTGGGAATCCACAGCAGGTAAACAGAGGCAGCATGGTAGAGTGCCAGTGGATGGCTCTTGATGACAAGGAGTCTTGAGTTCAAAGCCTTTCTTCCCAAGTTTCCGGACTTTGCTAAGGTATTTATTCCCTCAGCCTTAATGTAACCTAGAAGAATTAATTTCTGCTTTACAGGGTTGCTGTGAGTATCAACAATAATGTACAAAGCATCTAGCATAGCAGTCGGTCTACAAAGTTGGCCCTCAGTAATTGTTACAGCCTCCCTGGCCTCAAGGAGCTCTCTATTTCCATTATTATTATTCAGACATAGCCCCTGTTCTCTCAGCCTAGCTGGAGGGACAGATAGAGCAGGTAATTAGAGTATAGTGTGGTAAGCGAAATCATAGAAGGAACAGACATTGAGTTAGGAGGATTGAAAGGTAAAAGTTTGATATCCAATGTTAATTTAGCATAATATCAGATACATTTCTACTGCAAGAACCTTATTTCGTAAGATTGTTAGCATCTTATGAAGATTTCAGGCCTATAACAGTGAATACAATGACCCAGGGCTTTTCTATGTGTAGGCATTTAATCCTCACATCAGCCCTACAAGGTCGGAACTATCATTCTCCCCTATTTACAGATGGGCAAACTGAGGCACAGAGAGGTTAAAATAACTTGCTCAAGGTCATATGACTAAGAAACCAGGATTCAGATCCAGGCATTCTAGCATCAGAGCCCGCATTTGCGACCACTCATTACACTTCTTCTATTGTCTCCTTCTTCGAGCTTCATTTTACAGCCAGCAGAGACTGTCACTAATTATACTTGAGAAAATTGCACAAATTAAGAGAAATTTAGGGAAAAGTCAAACAGCAGAAAAGTACTGAATCTGGGAGGTGAGACAGCCAGGCTGTTTCTTTTTTCCAGATGCAGCCTAAGAAGCGCTGTCTGTTGACCCAGCCTGGACCAGTCCGCCTCCTTCCTCCCTATGCCCAGTTTCCGGAGATGGCCCAGTCAAGCTCTTCTCTTGTGGGCTGTAGTTCAGAGTGTTCTGTAGCTTTTTAAGAATCACATTTGAAATCAGCTTCACTTTCTTTTCCTGAGAGACATTAGCTGCAACATTTCTCATTTTCTCAGTTCCCTGGTGGAGTCCACACTGACTTGCATGCAGAGGGACTGCCCTTGCTTATCAGAGAGCCCTGCCCCCTAAGATTTCAGTTTCAATGTGTATTTTAAAAAACTGGCACATCTTGGTCTGATTCAAGCTCCTATTCCATTGAAAGAATACTTAGATTTTATAGAGCTGTTGGTCACAATGTAGTTTGTCTGGAAAGCTGTGAAGGGGAAAATAGGATCACTCTCATTTTACTGAAGGGGAATCTAAGAGCTGAGCCCTAGGGAATGGGGTGAGTAGGTTACATCTTCACAAATCAGAAGATTCATAGAGAAGAAAGAGTGAGAGACAAGGGCACAGTGGTCCTGAGTCCCAAAGCCACTTTAAGAATTCCTGTGCGCTTGTTCCATCCCAGGTTTGTTCTCCTGGAAGACCTGGAGAACTCTTCCCTCGGATTCTTTTCTTTCTTTCTTTTTCCTTCTCCTCTGCCTCTCAACTTTCTACTGGGGTATTAGGACACTAGGATTTCACTGAGTGAGCACATCAGGGAAAGGCAGGGACGGGTTAGAGAACGAGGATGTTCAGGAGTGATCCCTCTACCCACGTAAAGGTGAGGAGCGCTTTTATATTAGGAGAAATCCAGTGTGTTTAGTGTCACTGTGGAACTTCTCCATCTCTTATGACAAAGGCTCTTTATTTCTTCCTTCATGTCCTTCCCTGGGGTGACTGCCTTTCAACCTCCTCACACCTGGCTCATTGCTTCAGGTGATGTCTTAGTTGGTCTGTCTAATTCTGAAAGTCTTCTCCCTCCAAAATGCCCTTACGCTGGGAATAGCCTCTGACGTCTGCATCCTGGATGATTGCCATAATTTGATTCCACTATGCTTATTGGCTTCTATCTAGCAATACTTCCAACATGTACCTTCTGTTCGAGCTGGCTGGTCCCTTTCAATTCTAGTCTATTCAACAGTGTTTATTGCTCATAAGCAGGTTACAAGGCATTGTGTTGGCTGGTGGTGGATACAGAGGTGCATCCTCTCATGACTACCTCTTCGTGATCGTGAAGTCATGGATCTTGCCCCTAAGTAATGTACAGTGTAGAGGGAAACAAATAATTATCTACTCTGGAAGGCAGAATGAAATGACTTATAGGGATAGAAATACCAAAGAAAAAAAAAGGAGTACAAAAAGAACCATAATTAATTTGACTAGTGATACTAGGGAAAGCTTCACAGAGGAGGTGACATCTGAGCTGGACGTTGAAAGATGTGTAAATGGACAGGGAGAGAGGGCGCTCAGCTGAGGCACTGTGTCACACATTGGGAAGGGACTATGAACATGCATGGTGTATGGGTAGCTGCCCCAAATACACCACACAGATCCAGGCTTCTGCTTTTTTTCATGCTTTACTCACTTGGATGCCCTCTGTCTCCTTTTTCATTCTCTGTCAAATCTCATCCATCCTTCAAGGCCTAGCTTCAGCCCTGCCTTCTCCGTAAGGTCTTTTCTGACTGCACTAGCTCATGCCACTCCTTGCAGCATATAGTTCAGGATTTAAATGTAGTGTCTGTGCTGGAATTGGTTCCTCAGCTAGCCTAGAGCAGACATGATGCTCATCTTATACTTTGGGGACCTTGCAGCGGCCAAAAAAGTGCTAATGGTAGTCGGGAATAGATGGTTCTGAGACTAGCACCTTCATTCTACTTAAATAGAGTTTATTTCTGCTGTCCAGTCTGTGATTATTCATGGATTTAGGATTTAGCTGGTTACATTTGCTAAACTATCAGGGAAACAGTTCTTCAAATGCTCGCTTAAATCTTCTGCTCAGCTGTGCATGATTCCTCCTCAGTGCTGGCAGGGGGACGGGGAGGGGCATCTAAGCTCACTTGAACTGCGCGACTCTCTGGGTTAAGCCTAAGGAACTGGGGTGAAGCCACTTTTATCATCTACACCATCATCTCCCAAGTTCCCTCTGAGAGTGCCTCTGCTTCCTTCAAGGTCTCTTGTTTTGATGGTTGGGTTACACTCAGTTCCCCTAAAGTGCTGGAAATATAACTGGTTAATTCCTTTTGGAGAATGGAGGTGCTGTGTATGGCTTCGTCTTCTTGCTGAGGCTGCTTGGAATCTGTATTAGTCTGGTTCTGCAGAGAAACAGGACCAATAGCAAATATATATAATATAAGGAATTGGTTCACGTGGTTATGGAGACTGAGAAATCCCAAGATCTTGTAGTCGGCAAGCTGGAGAGGTGATGGTATAGTTTCAGTCTAGTCCAAAAGGCCTGAAAACCAGGAGAGCTGATGCTGTAAGTTTCAGTCCACGTCCGAGTCCTAAGGTAGGAGAAGACCTATGTTCCAGCTCAAAGACAGTCAGACAGAGAGAGAGAGTGAATTCTCCCTTACTCTGCCTTTATTTCTACCCAGACTTTCAATGGATTTAGTGATGGCCACTCCCTTTGGAGTGGGGGATTAATCTGCTTTACTCAGTCTACTAGTTCAGATGTTAATCTCTTCCAGAAACACCTTCACAGATACACCCTGAATAATGTTTAACCAAATATCTGTGCACCTCATGGCCCAGTCAAGTTGACACATAAAATTAACCATCACAGAGTGATATGAAGGAAATGTTGGCCAGGAGGAAAATCGTACGAGGCTTCTGAAGTAGAGCTTGAATAAAAATGCCCCAGCAGTCTAGTCCTTACAGAAAGAGCATTTTGCAACTGTGCGTTTGGAGAGTGTGTCTACACAGCTGAGAGACACAACTCTGATGGCTTCCCAGGTGACACTGTCATGTGTGGTTGGGCTAGTCCAGCCAGTGGTACCCTGCACAAAGGTTCCCATGCAAAGGGGCAAGTAGAGGCTGAAATGCAGCCTACACTCTACTCTTCAAGTCATGTGATTGGGTGAGGGGCTGCATCTGCACGAGGAAAAGGGTGCCTTTGTCTAATTTGCCCAAGGTGCTGTGTGGACTGGTGAGGTTGTGTGCCAGGGCTCCTCACATGTATTGAGTGTAAGCCGAGCATCCTAGATGGTGTGCCATGGCATATTACAGGTGTGCAAAATATTGATCTTCTCCATATATGGGGTTGCTGGTAAGGGTCATCACCTCTAGTCATGAGAAGCCTCTAGCCGTATGCAACCTCAGACGTGAGCAATCTTGATTGTTTACCACATTGTGCCATAAAAATATTATTTTATCCATGTCCTATGATGTGAAGAAGGTTGAGAAGCACTGTGCCTGGGGACTTGCCTTGTCATTCATCCAGAAGGGAGCCATTTCAGAAAGGGCACGTGTCCATTTGTCTATCTAGGCACAAACTATGCCTAGTGGCAGAGAGTTTCCTGCTTTGCCTACATTTTGTGATGTGGTGATTTACAATCTCCAGGTAAGCACTGGGCAGAGAAAATCTGGGTCTGGGGCATCTGCCAACGTCTGTGGTTGTAGCTCAGTTTCCACAGGGAGAATGTTGGCTGGGAGCCTAGATTACAATTTCATAACTTGAAGTCCCAGGAGGTTTGCTGTCCTGTGTGCTGATTTTCTCCTGTGCACAAGAGGGAGACAGAGGACATGTTAACTGAAAGTTGTTACTGGGGAATTCCAGTCCCACGAGGTACCCAGGAGAGTTCTGCAAATGGCACAGGGAAATGCCTTAGATTCCCGTGATGCTGGGGAAATCTAGGGTAGGAGAGCCTTCTCTTTTGCTGAGTTGCTGCCTCCGCTCCAGTCACCTTATTTGAAAGCCCTTGGGTAGTCAACTTCTTAGCCCAGAAGAAAGCAGCAGGAGGCAATGGGGGTGTTTGCATTGATTTTGATTATAGGCTTGAGGCAACATCCAGGCTCAAGCTACCTGCCTTCCTTCTTCCTGGTTGAGCCCTAGTTCCTTCTGTACCCCAATAACTGTACCTTTGTGTACACATAGTTGCGAATCACCCCCACTAGTGTCTGACGTGCTCTAGTTATTGAGAGTACCGCAGACAATCTTCCCAAAGGCTTGAGAAGTCTTAGGTTTAAAATTACATACTAACCAATTAATAATTGTCATCCAACTGTCTAGTTGATTTACTTTGAGATGTCTCCATCCAGGACTCCCTGATTAAACCTTCAAATCTGGTCCTTTCCAATTTTATCTCCTTCTCTCTTTCCTCCCACTCTCCTTCAGACCCTGGCTCAAACATGTGGGACCCTGCCCCTCATGCCTTGCTTCTCCCATCCTTTCCTCCTCCTCCTCTTCTTTCCTCATTTACCCCCTTCTTTTCCTTCTCCCTCTTTCCCTTCCCTGATCACTGAGGAAGTAAATATTCTTCTGTCTCATTCTCCAGGACACTTGGCTCATCATTACATTCAAACTGACCTGTGCATTAAGTCCCTTTACAAAGGAAATGGCTCGTCCAGCTCACAGATGCCTTAGAGAATTAGCTCTTAATTCTTAATCATGGATTTATTTGCATTCCATTTCAACTTCCCAATATTTCCTCCCACTATTCATTTGTTATCCTTATTTCCCTTTCCCCTAGACTCCTAGGTTCAAATTTATCTTTCGTGATTGGCTTCCTGCCTATTAGCTAGCTATTAGACAGGAACACTTCAAAAACATTTCGTTCTCCAAGAAAACCCAAAGCTGTCCTTCTGACCGTGGCAGAAACGAGGACCCGCAGACAGTGACAGACCCTCACCAGCTCCCCCAAACTCTTGTGACAGGACTTACCTTCCCTCTTTGCATATTCCAGGGAAGGACACTGAGGCACAGGGAATTGTGAATGCCACTAGACCACTGCAATCAGCTGTGGAGGTTGTGTACTGTGAAGGTCAGCTGAGGGAGCAAACAGGAACTGAAATTCAGCCTGTGTTCTACTTGCTAGTTTGTGCACCTGGTGTGGGAGAAGGGCACCTGTTTTCTAGTTTTCACACTGTGAGCGAGCAGTGGCCCTGGGTGTTATAGAGGCTCGAGTTTTCACTGTAGTTCAGAGGCCTAGGGGGTCCTACATTTAAAGGGTGGGATCAGCATCCCAAGCAGGCCAGTTTGTGGATGGCCATGGACCTAGGAGCAAGGCTCTGTGCATGTGTACAAGTACCTATACCAAAGCTCCCAGCAGTCAGTCCTGAGAAGTACAGAGAAGAGTCCAAGAGAACCAGCTGGCCCCTGGTTGGATGGCTGGGGTAGAGCAGAATGGCTGGAAGAGATGGGGCAACTGGCAGAAAAGGTCAGATAGGATTTACCTTATCAGAGCACTGCACTACGGAATAAATTGAGTTCACTGGCTCCTCCTTGGCAGGGAACACCTGTAAAACACCCATGTTCCCCTTAGTGAGGGAGACCAGGCAAACCCTTATGAGTCTCCCTTCCTACTGCTGCCCCTGCCCAATGGGACCCTCCCTGGTCCCATTTTCACTAGCTGGCCTCCTCTCCTGGCCTCAGCTCTGGTCCCATCGGGCTTTGGAGAGGATCAGGGTCAGGTGGGGGTGTGGGTGGGAGAGTAGGTAGCAGTTGGGCAAAAACCTCGGGAGCCAAGAGGAGGGGTCTGCGTGGTTCAAACCGAGTCTTGCTCAATTAGGATTTTAGCTTTTCACGGGCTTTATGGACCTAGCTACCCTATCAGTCCAAGCACAGTGCTAGACTGACCCAGCAGACCTGAGTATCTGAGGAGCAGGCTGGTGAAGGCACAGAGGAAGACAACACCATGAAGAAGCCTGATCCAGGGTGGAGGTGGGGGGGGGGGCAGGCAGGTAAAATGCAGGTGGGAGGAGAGGGTGTGGGACAGAGCGACTCTGAGCCTGAAGAAAGCAAGCTGCTGCTGCAGCCAGACAAGGAAATCGCATTCAAGGGGACCTTTTTCAGTTCTGTGCCCTTGGAGCCCCCTTAGCAACCTGTTCACATGTCTGAGGCCACATATAGCCCTCACCTCACACTAGGGGCTCCCTAGTTATATGTCTCTGTAGAAGGTGCGTCACTCCTAGTCATGATTCTCATCTAACCCAGAGCCAGGCCTCCATGTGGAAGCTTAGGGCCTCAACTCCTGGAGGCTGCCATGGGGTGATAATCAGTCACATTCTTGTCCTCATAGAGAGACTTGTGGTATCATTTCCCTGACATGATATTTCCTAGTTGGACCCTCCAGTTTCTTGGTTGTGGCTGCTGTCTAGGCAACAGGAAGCAGAGGCCTGCTGCCTGTGACTCCCTGTCCTGGGGGTGATGATGGGGATCCATGAGTAGCATCAACTCACCTTGGACTGGGGGATTTCATCGTAGATTCTGGACTCTGCTTGCTGGGTGTTTCTTGAAGCTGTAATATATGTGTATATTGTGTTCTTTGAGACAGCATCTGTGTCACAAATAAACATACAACCATACTATGTGAAAGGTGGATGAATTTTTAGAGATGATCTATTGTAATGTTCTCTTTTTAAGATGAAGAAATGAAGCCCCAAGAGGTTAAATGGCTCCCAGTCCTCTTGGATCCTTGGACCGTCTCTCCCTTATCTAGGGATTGTGTGTGGAATGGGAACCACCTGGCTCAGGCCCCACCCAGAGGACAGTGGGAATTCATTTCCACTCTACAGTCTGCAGTAGGCTAAAGAGATTCTCCCCAATCCCTGTGTGGGCAGTCAAAGTAGCTCTTCCACCCAGGGTCTTAGTTAATGTCTCTGGAACTTAGCACTGACTGCCTTGCATGGCTAGCTGTCTTTTAATGGAGGGTCTTAGTTTTTAAACAAGATTGATTCTATCCAGTTATACACTGTGTTGGATTCTTCTGGTGCAGACTTTCCTTTACCTCCTCAATGTTAAGCACATAGTAGATGCTCCACAAACGTTTGTTGCTTGATCAATTCACACAGTCAAACATGTATTAAGCTCCCTCTATGTGCCAGGCTCTGTGGGAGGCCACAGAGCAGCAAAGACAGGGGAGGTAAGTCCCTTCTTTTAAGAATTCATGGGCTGGTAGAGTCATGCCTTGCAGCATACCCCTTTTCTTCACTCCTAACATGGAACATTTTAGGGTCAAGGTGAAAAGAGAGAGTCAGAGTTCTGGACCTTCACAATCCAGGGCACAAACAACATATAACACATATAACGGGTCTGACTGAGCAATATCACAGGGTTCCCACGTTTCAGAGTTCAGTCCTGTCTCGGCCCCTGCCCCAGACGTGGCAAGTAAGCCAGATCGAGTGCTTGCTCTTACCTCATTTGTTGGTGAAAAAGGACCGCTTCTTTCTTCCCAAGAGTGTGAGGGATCGAAGACAGGTGTCTTTTTGAGAAACCCTGAAGATCACCTATGACCTGAGCAAGTTGTGTGACTTCTCCCCATCGTGAGGCCATTTGAGTTATAGTTAGTGTCACAAACTCTTCCTCTAGAATGCCTTTCTCTAGCTAAGCCCAGGCCCGTCCATTTTAAGTACAGTAGCTGACATTTACTGAGTACTTACTATGTGCCAGGCACTGGGCCAAGTATTTTATATGTGTAATTCCATTTAGTCCACTTACTAAGCATATGCAGCACAGCCTATTATTGTACATATTTTACAACCGAGAAAACAGACTTACAGTAATAAAATGACTGGTAGGTATAAATGGTTAAGCTGGGACCTTCACCCCAGACTGCCTGCAATGCAAGCACAAGCTTGGTCTTAACCACTCTGCTGTGAACTCATCTCTCCCAGTTGTCATCCGGGGAAACTTGTGGCTGAGAACTTACCAGGGTTCTTACTGAAGGTCTTGGAGTAGGAACCTGAGGAATTAGACCCAGAGGAGAATCAGGCACGTGGAAGTACAAGCAGAGCCTTTCTACATCCAGGCTCATTATCATGATTGGTGGGAAAGGAGGGCTTTGGGTGGACATGGGGTTAGGAGGAATAGGAGGATGTAATGACCCCCTAGGGGCCCAAGATCCAGTTTCCTCAATTGAGAATGGCACAATTACAGCAGGATCCAGAGGGATCTCGTGACAATCACGGGATACAAAATTAGTACATGTCCCTCAGTGACTCTCCGAAAGTCCTAGTCAAAATACAACATAGTTGGAAGTGACCCCGGAGACCCTCTAGTCCAAACCCCATTTCACATGTGAGAACACTGAGCCAGAGAGGTAAAGACACGTGTTCAGTAAAGCACAGCTTGTTAATGGCAGCGCTAAACTCAAACCCAAGTTCTGGGCCCAGCAGACACTGGTGATCCCAGAAACAGATCTGAAGACCATTCAGGGTAATGTCATATAGTCCTCAGAGCCATTATTCTGGGGATGGTGAGGTGGTGGGGTGGCACGGGGCCTGTAGGAAGCCTGATACCCTAGAATAAAAACCTCTCCACACCACCTTGGATAAATGACTTCAGTCCCCGGAAGACGGAAGGTGCATTTCCAAATTTTACCTTCTGGGAAAATCCTACCTTGTCTTCTTTTGCAGAAAAGGAACAGAAGCACTGCAGGTAGAATGAGCATAAACAGAGAGAGCACAGCCAGCCCACTCAGCAGCCCAGTGCGGCGAGTATGGAGGCCCATTGCAACATCTGGAAATAGAAAATGCAGTGTCACTGAGCTCTTGGGAAATAGGCCCAAGAGGCCGGGTAGGCTTGTCCACATTCAGGGGCACTATCAAAACTGGGTGCCCTCCAGAGGACTGCCAAAGCTCTGAGAGAAACTCTACTATCTACTATTACAGGTCAAGATTCAGAACTGAGACAGAGAGCAGGGGCTGCCCCAGAACACCCTGCAATGCCTGGCATCTCTCAGAAGGCTTTGGACTCTTTTCCATGGCTTCCTGGGAGGAGATGCCCCTGGGGACCACGCCCGGCCTAAGGGAGGCACATTTCCCTGGAGAACAAGCCTCAAATTCAGGCCGTGCAGCTCTTCTGAGGGATTGCTGACTCCAGGAGAGACAGACAGAGCTGGTTACCTGTACAGAGCTGCCGGGCAGAGATGGAGTCAGAATTATTGCTGACAGGGTTCCAGACTGTACACGTGTAAGTCAGCTCTTGGTTGACAGGGGTCCTGAAGATTTGAAGGACATTACCCTCTTCCCCCAGGGGACTCCAAGTATATGTCACATTTTTTTCTTCTTTTTCCACAGAGCATGTCAGTGTGACATTACAGGTGTTGTTCATCGATGTCATTAAACTCTGAGTAATTTTTGGCTTCCCAAGCCGACCTGGGAGGGGAAAACATGTGAGCCAGTGGTAAGCTGGAGCTTGTGAGAGCCAACTGTTAACTTTTCAGAAATTTTTCAAGATGGTTATTAAACAGAGCCATCATGAAAAATTAAATTACAAAAACCTACAATAAAATAATTTTAAAAACAAAGCTAATAAATACTTAAAACTCATCACTTTCTGTTTTTTTGACATCTATTATAGCTGCCCTTTGTAAGGATGTACAAAGTCTTCGCAACTTTGCATGTCTTACAATTAGCCACAGGGGCCTGCCGGGTGGAGTAGTGGTTGAGTTCGTGTGTTCTGTTGCAGAGGCCAAGAGTTTGTAGGTTTGGATCCTGGGTGTGGACCTAGCACTGCTCATCTAGCCACGCTGTGGTGGCATCCCACACAAAATAGAGCAAGATTGGCACAGATGTTAGCACAGCAACAATCTTCCTCAAGCAAAAAGAGTAAGATTGGCAACAAATGTGAACTCAGGGCTAATCTTCCTTGCAAAAAAAAAAAAAAAAAAAAAGCCACAGTGGGAGTGTTTACACCACAGAAATTGGCAAATGCTACAAACTAGGGCTTGATTTACTACTTTGTTGATTATTGCTTTAGACTTAAGAAAGCAATGGAAGAAAGATTACTAAAGGAGATTAAACTTAAAAGGGCATCCTTTCTGTAGCCATTACACTGTGAATAGCACAAAAAAACTAGGAAATATTCTTCCGCTACATCAAAACCATTATCCAGTTCAGCAAAGAAGTTGCTCACGTCATTGACGAACAAGTGAAGTTCTGACATATATGGATGTGTGTATGCACATATTCTGCATGAAACAACCTTTAAGAAACTTTTTCTGGTTCTGTTTTCTAGTGTATGTGGGTTTTCTTTAAGTTTCTGTTTTGTTTTGAAGTGCCTGTGATGAAAGTTAAAACCTCTTTAAAAGTTCCTTTTGAGAAATCTTGTTACTAAAGCAATCAGAAGGTAAACTGAAAAAGTTATAGGCTAGTAAAGGGTTATCAAAGAACAACTATATTTAAGTTGAGGTAATGCTGTAGCTAGATCTGGAGCTGGCAGAAGGAAGGGGATGTTCGCTTCTTCAAGGCAAGGGAAAACAGAATTGAAACAAAAAAACAGCTCACTAATTGGGAAAAAATATTTACAAGCCACTTATCCGACAAAGGGTTAATCTCCATAATATACAAAGAACTCACACTGCTTAACAACAAAAAAACAAACAACCCGATCAAAAAATGGGCAGAGGACATGAACAGACATTTCTCAAAAGAAGATATGAATATGGCCAATAGACACATGAAAAGATGTTCATCATCGCTAATCATCAGGGAAATGCAAATCAAAACTACACTAAGATATCACCTTACCCCCGTTAGATTGGCAAAAACATCCAAAACCAAGAACGACAAATGTTGGAGAGGTTGTGGAGAAAGAGGAACCCTCATACACTGTTGGTGGGAATGCAAACTGGTACAGCCACTATGGAAAACAGTATGGAGATTTCTCAAAAAGTTAAAAATAGAAATACCCTATGACCCAGCCATCCCATTACTGGGTATCTATCCTAAGAACCTGATAACAGATATCTCAAGAGTCCGTTGCACCCCTATGTTCATCGCAGCATTATTTACAATAGCCAAGACGTGGAACCAGCCTACATGCCCAGAAACTGATGACTGGATAAAGAAGATGTGGTATATATACACAATGGAATACTACTCAGCCATAAAAAAAGACGAAATTGGCCCATTCACAACAATGTGGATGGACCTCGAGGGTATTATGTTAAGCGAAATAAGTCAGTCAGAGAAAGACGAACTCTACATGACTCCACTCATAGGTGGAAATTAGTATATTGAGAAGGAGATCTGATTGGTGGTTACCAGGGAAAAGGGGGGGTGGGGGGAGGGTACGGAGGGGGAAGTGGTGTACCCACAACATGACTAACAAAAATGTACAACTGAAATCTCACAAGGTTGTAATCTATCATAACATTAATAAAAAAAAAAAATAAAATAAAATAAAGTGTATTCTAAGTTCTTGATCAACACATATCGTCCCAATTAAATTCTATATTTTCTTAAACAATTCTAGCTCTTAACAAAATTAGTAGAGGTGATTCTCTTGAAATGGTTTTCCCTCTGTAGTCATGTCCTATTTTTTTTATCGGCCTTTTTCACGCTATATTTATTTCCTCTCTTTTTCCTCTCATTTGATTCTTTCATTGACTGGATGGAATATATTTATCACTTTAAAGTTTGATCCCACACTTTAGGGCTTTGTGTATGTGTACGTGTGTGTATGTGTACATGGGTGTGCATGTGTGTATATGTGTGTGTGAGTACATGCCCACACACATGTGTATGGTAAATAGGCAAATATTTTTTCTTTGCCAAGTTTTAAGTTCCTATAATCCAATATCACATTCTTTAGGCATAAGTCAAGTCAGAATGGGACAAACTGAATACATAATTTTTACATGTGCTAATTTTCTCA